CCCCCCCCCCCCCCTAGTGATGTTCATTTATACCATCTAATATTTGACACAATGTTGTAGTAGTATTTTGTGATCTTTCTTTCCCTTTGTATTCATTTAAGCATCTAAATAAATAAAAAAAAAAAAGCTGTATTGTGCTTCACGTGGACCTTTTGCTTCTGTTCTGTGGATTCGTAGTTTTTGGATGGGTAAGAAACGGTGGTTTCTCATATACCGGACGAACTCCAGGCAGATGTGAAGATGAACATTAATGCATCTCTGTATTCGCTAATATCGCATTAAATGTATTTTTTTAAATGCAAACAGTGTAAGTACCTGAATTTTGCCTGGTATCCAAGTCAGGGGTCTCAAAGTACCGGCCCCGTGAGCAGGGCCACTGATAGGTGTGTTGGGGTAGAGCCAGCCCTCCTGTACCGGGCCCAGGCCCCAGCAGGGAAGTCTGGGGGACAAAGGGGGCTTTTAACCTTTGCACCAGCTCAGGACATAGCTAAGGTTGTCACCTGTCCGGGATTCACCTTGACAGTCAAGGTTTTCAGGCCTGTATGTGCTGTCATACCAGCTGAAATCCAGATCCAAGATGTCGGGCAGACTGGGGCAACCATGGGGTCCTGGTGCACAGGACGCCGGATCTCGGGTAGCAAGGAGGTATCTGAAACATAAGGTGCAGATACATCTTAAAGGGCACGGGTCCTACTTTAGGGTCTCTCCCCTGGCATGCTCTTATGTGGCTCCATGGAAGAAGAAAATTGGCCCAGTGGCCCCCAGGTCTATTTTAAAAATTAGTTGGCAGCAGGCTTGCTTAAAGTATAATTCCAGGTCAGTATTTACAAAAGCACACTTTGACCTACTCGTGTATTCATTAAAGGCAATTCGAAATAGTCTGATATATACTGTATGCTGGCTGTCTCTTAGCTGTCACGCCCTTCCGGACAATACATTTTAGACTGCAAGAGGCACATGAATTATGCAATGCTGTACTGCGATCACACCGACAGGAGGGGAGTGCTCAGCTGTGACATCATCACACCCCTGATGCCACCTCTGCACTTCAAAGAAGCTGATCGAGCACAGCTGATGCATGACCAGCTCCTGAACCCCCGGGGCATGACAACTGAGAAGCCGCAAGTGATGCAATCAGTGTCACTTTCAGCTTCATTCAGAGAAGATCAGCAAAGGGACTTTCATTGGCCTCTCTCCCTGCTACCCACTGACACCCAGTAAGCTGGTTCTGGGCCTGCAGGAGTGGCAGTGGAGCCCAGGAAGCAAGGTGGGGAAGGGGGGTTACCTGCGTTTACTGTGCCCTGGAAGCGGTGATAGTCGGCCATAACTGCTGGGAGTCTGTTTTACAGGGGCCTGCTGCAAGTGTCGTAAGCCTTAGCCCAAAGAAGTACAGGAGCTACTTTGCGGCGTATTTGCCGCGCGTATCCATTGGGATACAGCCAGGTAGCCCTCGGAAACGCGCATTTGTTGTGCGTTTTTTTTTTTCCAGCGAATCGCAGTTCAAACACGCATATTTGATACTCCTAGGTGTGAACCCAGCCTTTAGGACAACTATGGGGAAAAAGCCCTGACCCCATAGTTCTCTAACGTGTTTTTGTTCCATGCAATGCCTCCAAACACCAGGAAACACGAATGCTAAACTATTTGCTACAAAAATAAAACTAACAAATTTAAAGAAAATGTATAAGTAGAACAGCAGCCGGAACATAAGGGAGTGGGATAGGCTTGGAGGCTGTGTCAGAATTTTGTTTGTGGTCCAGACCGGTTTCCTCTCAAACTGTTTGAACCAGAACACCATCATCTTCCAAAGAAACTCAAACTTTATTCTGCATGCATCTGTACAATGCACCTGGACCGCTCGTTAGCGGTTGTGCTTTGTACAGATGCATGCGGAATAAAGTTTGAGTTTCTTTGGCAGCTTATCGTGTCTTGGTTCTACGGTTTCTGAGCTCATTACTCCGGAGTAGTGATGGGCTCCGGCGTGTTCGCAAGCGCCTTGTGCCGAGCCCGCCATGAAGCTGTCCGAGCGCAGGGCCAATCAATCACAGGCATTGAGACATTTCCCGATCTACGGAGTAGAGTCAACCGTGTACAGCGTCCGGATTGCATGATGATGGGGGGGATGAGCTGTGCGCTTCGTGTTTTCACTCGATTTGAGCTCCTGTTTTAATCCGTCAATTGTCACTTGTCTTTGTGTCGGGTAAGAATTGAGAGGGGATTTTGTCCAATGGGCATAGATAGTGATAAAGAACACGTAAAGGCCTTCTCCACTACATTCAGAACCCGATAGGAGGTGAGACGTGTGCAGGAAAATGTCGTTCTGCTGTAGGGAAGGTGACTGTTAAAAATGGAAACCGGTCTCTTATAAAAACAGTGTTTTGGTTCTCCACGAGCGGGGTGGGAGAATGACGGGTTGCTACGGTAACATTTTATGACGCCCTTACAGCGGGGTAAGGGAATGCAGACTAGTTTTGTTACAATTCTATAATTTGCGCGTTACTTAAAGCTGCCCATACACGGTAATCGTATTCAACCTGTGGGGTGAACAAAGAAAATACAATGGTACCTCGGTTCACGCACGCTTCTGTTCGCAACACACAATTCGGTTCACGAACAGGAAGTTCAGCAAAATGTTGCTTCCGTTTGCGAATTCTGCATCGCAGGACGAGCACAACAGCAGCCATCTTCCCTGCTCTGGGCGTGGCTTCCTCTAGTCGAGATCGCGGTCTGATCACAGCTTGATTCGGTTCGTGACCAGAATCGTGGAACAAATTAACTTTGTGAGCCGAGGTACCACTATTAGATTCTATCTAGATCCTCTATCAATGCTTACTAGTGTTCACTAAGGAATCTCCTGCTGTCTTCATTGTATTCTGACAGTGACCGAGCCAGAATATTTTCGGACTCAGATGATTGAGGTATGCCTGCCGTTGGCAACCACTGTGCGAATTTTGTCCGGTTCTTAAAGGAGAACTATGGGGTTAAGGTTTTTCTCCATAGTTCTCCTTAGGGTAACGGGAGGACACAAACTACCGTCTTGCTGTCACCCTAGGCTCAGTATATAGGGAGCTGCTGCTCCCGGTATACTGAGACGCTGAAGCGGATCCTGACAATTTTGCCGGGATCTGCCCAGCTGCATGACTTGACAGCTGGCTCAACCTATCTAGAGGCAGAGCCAGCTGTACCCGCCCCCTCCCCTCGTCCGTTCCGCCAGTCAGTGCTGGCGGGGAGGGGGGAATCCAGCCCCTCCCCTGTCACGGCAGAGAGCCGTGACAGGATCGAGAGGTGAGCGAACGCCGGTATGTGTTCGCTCACCTCCCGATCTGAGCCGACCTGCGACAGTCTCATTGTCACAGGTCGGCTAGAACTATGAGGTGAGTGAAAAGCACCCCCCCCCCTCCCCCCATAGTTCTTTAATGAAATCCACATAGTGTATGACGACCTTTTAGATTCACAAATCCAGAGCTGTGATCATACTTTGCGTAGTACAATAAAAGCAGTACAAGCTTGGTCAAGGACCTCACTAGTTTACAACATTGTGCAATGTTGCAGAACCCTCTCGTTCCTGTCTGAGGCCTACAGTACAGGGATTAATATAATACATAGGTACCATTTTAAGATGATGATGGAACTAAAGTCCAGCGTTGTGGCATCTGCAAGCTCCTCTATTGCTTTCATTTTTGTTTTCCCCTCTCTCTTTTTGGCATCACTGTCTTCTGCCATCTTGATTGGCTGCTGTGGGATGATATAATTCCTGTGTGGGCTCCGTTGCAGCACCAATGCACATGGAGGGTGTATGACTGTGTACATTTAGAAGAGCTTTTACCGCAGAAGACTCGGGGGAATTTAACAAAATTTGGAGCAGATTTGCATTGCAATCAGCTTCTCTGTCTCATCAAATCCTACCTGAGCACACTGAAGAGAGAAGCTGATTAGTTGCTCTGGGCTACTGCTCCAGATTCTGCCTGCTCCAGTTTTGATAAATTCCCTTCATAGTCTTTTGTGCAATATAATCCAGCCACCATTTAAAAAAATGTTTAGTTTAGGCTGGGTTCACACCTAGGCGTATTGAATATGCGTGTTTGTCGTGCGTTTTGTGCCGTGCGTGTTTACAGTGATTTGCGACAAAACGCGCGTTTCCGAGGGCTACTTGGCTGTATCTCAATGGAAACGTGTGACAAAAACGCCCTAAAGAAGCTCCTGTACTTCTTTGGGCTTAGGAAGTTCTGTAGCGCGTTCATACGGCCTGTAATACGCCCAGGTGTGAACCATACCCATAGGAAACAATGGGATTTCGGTGTTTTGAGCGTTTTGCAGAGCGTTCGAACGTGCTACAAAACGCCCAGGTGTGAACTGGGCCTTATAGTTCTGCTTTAGGAAGTTTAGTGAATGAATATATGACTGCCTGCTGCTGAGAGAGTGTATTGACCCCTGGACAGCTTGGTTCCATTCTCTGACCGCTGCCGATCAAAAGTTTGGAATTACTCTAGTTGACCAAAAAAACCTACCATAGAATAGCATTGCAAGGTGGGGAAGAAGCATAGTGGAAATGAATACACAAGTAGGCTACAGGTTCCCCTAAGCAAGTCCTTAAGAAAAAGGGGAAAAAACACCACCCTTACCCAAGATGTTAGAGATTGTGCCAGGCTGCTTCTTAACATCTACAAAATGAAGATCTGGCTCGACGTTGACCGCACAGTCATTATAAAAATCTACACACAGGCCATCTTAAAGTTCTCACCAACAGCGGAGGGTTACAGAGGGTCCTGATACCCATCTAATTCATTAGGAGTCTAGTAGATGTCTCCCCCACTGCTCCTTATGGGAGGACGGCTGTTATTTTCCAAGTACAGCACCACTTTGAAACGACCTACAGTCTCCATTTGCTGGATTACCCTTAGTAATGCTCAAGCGTTGGCCTTCAATGACAATCCATGGTGAGGTAGAAATAAAAAAAATCCTATTATGAATCTCTAAATACTTTCAAGACAAAGACCACAATTTTTAAAAAATATATCGGTTTTATTTATTTCTGAGCAAGCGCGATGGCGGGTGCAATTGATGTGGTTTGGTAGGAGAGCAAAAATGCGAATGCGGTTTACAAAAACCACCAGTGCAGCGGAAATGCATCAAGTGTGCTGGATGGATCCAAGTTCAGCAGTTGTGATGTGAGTGGCAAGGGTTAATTCAGGTTCTTCGTGTAGTTGTGTGTTCCGTCAAAGTAATCTTCTGTCCTATAGAGTTTTGGCAGCTCGTAGGTGTTCTGCTTTTTCACACCTTGCTGAAAGGAGAGAAGCAAAGAAACAACTCAAAACAGAATAAGTTAAGGTTCAATGCACCCCACGGTGCTATTTCTGTTATAATCTGGTGGGGTGAATCGTCTGCTGCCTTGGTAATGCTTGGAGCTCCATCTACCAGATGTCCATGTCCTGGCTCTTGTCTACCATGGTGTGGTTCCTCTGCTCCTATTGTAGTATCCATAGAATACTCATCCGGGAAACTAAGGTGACTTTCTGCATGGCTGGCTGAGGCAAGTCTAGTTGGTTTATCCTTCTGTATTGATTTGCCACCTTCTCTAGGAAGTAGCAACTTATTTTAAGCGTAAGCTATTCACCCAAAATAAATCCATAGCTACTTTGTGATACTGCAACATGGTGGTGTGAACTGAGACAGTGGAAAACACGGATATTGCCTTTTCGGCGTGTTGGGGGGGGGGGCACTGGAAAAGGCCCCAATGTATCCGGTGTGGATCGGCCCTGAACATGAACACAGAGAGGTTACCCCCAGTTACTAACCCCAATATGAAGGACTTCTTGAGTGACTCAATGAATGAGATGGAGATATCCTCTCATTTGTTGTATCTCTGGGACAAGAAGTGTAGGAAAATTTTCCCAATGGGATACCAACAAATAAAATCTGATGTGTTCTACGCATTTCTTATACTATTTAAAAATTAATAAAAAGTACATATCAAATACCAAAGTGAACGTGAAATACCAACTTTCAGATTGGCCTAGCTTCCTCTACAGCTGACATCAAATGCTTTGTATTTGGTCGCACATTACTGGGGCCCATTCACACCACATCCAGATCATCGCCAAACCACAGTAGATCGTTTCCTTACCCAAAATGCATCCCAATGTATCCCTATGCTATTTCTGGCCTCTGTTCAGACCAGACCAAATACTGCTTGTCTCATTTTTGTCTGGTCTGGAACTGCAGGCAGGTTAACACCATTTTCCGGACCAGATATGGTCTGGAAAATGGTGTGAACCTGAAGGAGGTAGGTACAGGTATGGTGAGTATTTCATGGTTTGTTAACTTTTTATGAGTTAAAGGGAGCAGGATCAACAAGGTAAGATGATAGACACTTTGTTCTAGCATTGGCTTTACTGGGCGTACACCTCAACACAGAGTGATCTTCCCTGAACAGCCTAATACTATCACCTATGTGTATACTGGTAGGGAAGGGGAAGTGTAGTTGGTGCCACTATATGGCAAAATCATTGTGCAATTGTACTCATAATATTGACACAGTGTTGTCTGGTCAGAAAGTGACCACTTTCATCTGAGGATCTTCACACAGGTATGTTCCTTTGTTCCAGATTCATCATAAAGAAGATATATATATATTTTTTCTATCTCTGTTAGGTTCAGGTGCACTATCGTGAAACATCAATAACCATGAGATATTATTGGAAGGTTGTGAGTTATGGTCACAGCAACGAATAAGTTCCTACAAGATATTTGTTCACCCAGCAATAAACAAATCAATTTCCTTTTCCACTCCATTTTTATCACCTCTCCCATAAAGCTGGCCATACACAGGTTGAGATCTTGATGACAAAATTTCTCTGACGGTCTAATGTCTATGAACTTCTACACAAGTCGACAATCAACAAGCGGGCAGCACAGTGGCGTAGTGGTTAGCGCTTCTGTCTTGCATCACTTGGGGTCCCATGTTCAAATCCCGGCCAGGTCACTATCTGCAAGGAGTTTGCATAGTTTCCCTATGTTTGCATGGGTTTCCTCCCACGCTCCAAAGACATGCTGGTAGGTTATTTGGCTCCTCTATGTATGTGAGATAGGGACCTTACATTGTAAGCTCCTTGAAGGTAGGGACAGTTGTGAAGTGCTGTGTAAAATGTTGGCGCTGTATAAATACCTATTATAATGATAACAGATGGCAACGCCGTCTCCACATGAAATGTCAATAGTGATTGGACAGACTGAAAAGCTTTGTTCTCTGGAAGAGTTCTGCCCATTCCTCACCCAATCGATTGATAACCACACATGCTTTAGTGGCGGTAAAGAACGCGGTCTCAGTCTTGGTGATTCTTTAAGTTTATTTACTTTTGCAAAGTTTTAAGCTTGAGTAAAGGCTCTTATTGTGTTAGAGTATTGCTGGAATCACTCACAGGCCACTTATCTCAGTCACATTCTGTGCTGCTTACAAAGGGTTCCCAAACTACCGGATAGCATCATTTATTAAATTTTTCTAAGAGCCCGTGGAACGTGCATCAAAAACAAACTTCCCCCGGTGAACAAAAAAAGCGAACCGTGAAATCACAGCACACAAAAACGTGCACAAGGGTGCTTGGTCCTTCAATAAAGAAGGGACCTCGATTCCCGACCCCCCCGGGGCGCAAGGCTCCTTGCAGGGGTTGAGAGTGTTGGTCCACCAACCCGAAGGCCGGTGGACACCGATCCTTTGGGGACCTGCTGAAACAGGTCCCACACAGTACTAGGTAGGGGGCTCTCCCGAAGAGAGACCCCCCCCCTGGGTTGGGAGGAGACAGAGAACCCTGTATTAGGGCACAGAATCTCCACCCCACATCAGGAAAAGGCCCCGAAAGAACCTGCACCCGCTGCATCTGTGGGTCAAAATGCTTTAAAAAAAAAGCCAATCGTGCATTAAGTGCAGTAAATAATACTTAAGTGCCAGTGCCCCACGCTGACAGGACTTTAGGGGCCGGAGTGCAAAAATATTGCCCCAAAAAATATTGCCCTTGGACAGGCCATGAGGCCTGTCCAAGAGGCGATGTGCAAAAATTGCAAGGTGGTGTGTGACCAAGTGCATCAGTGAGTCAATGTGGGGTCCCACACCCATGTGACTTTCTGAGCACCCCTGGGACGCCACCAACCAGGGGGCACAACACCACGGGCTCTGCCGCCTCCCAACCCTCTAGCCAGACCAAGCTTCGCACCCATCAACCCAGGAGGAAACGAAGCCCCTCCAGCACCCACCTATCACATAAGGGAATACTAAGCATCTCTTCATACCATTTTGGGCCGGTGGATCGATGCCTTTCTCCCCTGAAAACTGATAAGAACAGATACTACACTTGATCTTAGCCAAAAGGGCGAGAAGCGTCATTTATTAAATGGTACATTCTCTGTTGGCAAATATAAAAATAAACTTTGGTTTCTGCTCAGTTGGCGGCTCAATGAGTTGGCAGAGTTTTCTTTTTTTAATTCATGGAGACTTGTAGCGTAAAGGGCTAGCGAGGTGAACACCTTTCCTGGTTCACAAGATTTATGTCTTCATTATATACAGTAGCTGTGACTTATTTGTAGCCCCAAAGTAGGGGAGTTAATTTGGAAATCCGAGGCACTTCATTAGACATGCGGGTTCTCTAATTATTATGAGGTCTGGGTTTGGATCCTTGTAACAATGCTGTGCAGCTAGTTGGCTAAGGACGGGCATGCGCGCCCATATGATTGACGCCTGCCGGTGGCCGTCTTGGTTCATGGATGGCAGCAGAGAGAGGAGGGGACGTTCACTCGGCGGGATGAGGGATGCCGCCGGGGCCCCTCCTCTCTCCTGACAGTGTCAGGCTCTCGGTCCATGACAATGGTGTCACCCGAGTGCGGGCTGAACCCCCCTTGTGGTGCCATTGGTAAATTCATTATTTTCCTGAAATAGGTCAGTGAGTGATTCTGTATACGACGAGAGGTTGATAGCTTGGTGGTTAGAAACATGGGCTAAAAAACCAGCAAATTCAAGAGTTCAATTCTATCTGAGATGAAACCTTTTTTTACCCAGAAATGCCTCTTCACATGAACTGCTTTGTCAATGTTTTTTTCTATAATTGTGTAAAACTTTATTCTTCAGATACAGACTAGCAAGTTTCATTTTGTGAGGAGATCATACAAAGAAAATGACCTGGAGAAGCCACTTTCACTTGTCTGTAGCTTGAACTGCTTTCTGGATTTTGTTCCTACTTTGCTAATGTCTTATTTCCTGAAATAGGTTAGTGAGTTCCTTTATGTTCAAGGGGAGGAGATAGCTCAGTGAGTAAGGATCCTTCATAACGATACCAAAAACAAGAGTTCTGATCGTTCTGGGTTAAAATTGTGTTCCCATGACCATCCCTCCTGTATTGGTTGTAATTTTAATCCCGTAGTTAATGTGTTTTTTTCTATTTGACCAATGCCAAATTTTCCTGAAATAGGTTAGTGAGTTCCTTTACGTACAATGAGAGATGATAGCTCAGTGAGTAAGGATCCTGCATAACAGCACCAAAAACAAGCGTTCTAATCCTGCTTTTTTGGTGAGGGTGTCACACTTACCATTTGAGTTATTGGCCTCATTCACACTGCCGCGCGTACACGTGCGTATTGTACCATATGCAAATAAATGGCTCCATACACAGAGCCGCGTATGAAGCCGTATATTTGCGTAGCGTATATATGCGCAAAAACAGAATGGAACAGAGATGTGTCCGGGCAGCGTATGTCTGCGTGTTTACGCGCATATATGCGTACAGCACATTAACAATTCTATTACGAGTGATGCATTCTGGGATTGTATATAGTGCATGGATATGCTCGTATATACGCGCATAGACGCTCGTATATACGCAATATACAATTTTGCTTGCGTTGTGTGTGAATGAGGCCATTACCTCTTTACAACTAAAATGTGGCTCACTAACCTAGATAAAGTATTTAAATGGCAAGGGAGAATCAAACTCTTGATAATTTGCTCGCCAGAGTCATTACCCACTCTCCTCCAACATAAAGCATCTCACTAACCTATGGAAGAAAAATAAGTTATTAGTCAAATAGAAAAAAACAAACATTGATTAAGGGATCAAAATTGAACCCATGAGACAAGCAAGAGGCTTGCCCGGGGCCACAAGGATTCAACTATGTTCAGAGAGTGCCCTTACCCCTTGAGCTATTACAGCTTATCGAACGAAATGTGGCTAACTAACCTATGCCATGAAGATAAGACATTAGTGAACTAGAAATCGACATTGACTAACAGATTTAAAA